CCTCTCTAGCAACATCTATATGGTAGAAAGTCAATAAAAAGTGATAATCAGTAACAATGACAGCTAGAAACATCAAGGAAGACTCTGTACAACTTCATATAAACTCTCTGCACAACCTTGGAGCACAGAAACCTTGTACAGGCATGGAGCAAGCTATTTGTCTTCATTCTGCTCTTATTCACTTAGAACAACTTGTGGAGGCCAGCAAAACCTCTTCATGAGCTACAAGAAGTATGACTTGCCCATTTTATTTTCCTTGAGGCCCCAGTACACAATATTGGTGCTCCAAGGCATGTGGGTTTCAAGCCCTTTCAAGGATTAAAGACAGAAATTTTGTGATGTTGCTGGGAACAGGTTTCGATTGGACACTGAAGTTCTCCCTTGATGAAGGGTCCCTGGCTTCCCTCAGCTCCACCCAATACACCTGACCTGCCCCATTAGTGTGGTGAGGAGGTAACAACAAATGGAAGAGCCATTACTGCATTCCTGTTTCAATGGGGAATTGTTGTGTGCCTTTGAATTCAACTTCTGGCCATTTCAGAAACCTATGAACAATGATAATGTATAAATCTATAAAGAAAAAAACAAAGGAAGACCCACTGCAGGTTGCATTTTTTGCAATTATAAAGTTGTGGTACCTCAGTGGAACGTTCCTTTCTTGGACACACCTAAGCAATTGTGCTAACATCCCCTAAGTCAGGATCAACCAAATGTCATCTTCTCTTGTGGATGGCTCTTTTTAGCAATCACTATGTTACAGTTACTTATTTTTCTTTGATCACCAGTGATCTGAACATTCAAGAAATGTCCAGGGTGCATGCTGAAATTAAGTTTTCCCAGTTCTGCCACCTTCCTACCTTTTTGTTATCTTCCCTCTAATTATCACTCCCTAATACCATGAAAAGAATTAGAGACACTTAGAACCAGCTCTATCCTGACAAGATTTAAGACTCCTTAAGATAGAAATCTCTGAATTTTGAAGCCTCGAGTCATTTTTATAGTAAGAATTACAAATACGCTTGCATATAAACACATTTCTTAGAAGAGAAATACAAAATTAAAGTCACCTTTTTAATATCTTCATGCTCATAGATACTGGGGGCCAATGCAGAAGAAAGCCTTTCGTAGATGTCTAATTTTTGAGAAAGCTCCCTCAGCATTTGGACACGTTCCTCTGTGAACATTTTCCGCTCCGTCTCCTCGTCAACCCCGTGCAGGCGCTTGGAGTCGGTCTTGCGGTAGTGAATGACATCAACGTGGGTCTTGTAGACAGACTTCACTGTGCTGACCCTTGGATTGACACGAATTGGGACTGCCCTGTAGATACCTAAAGAGGAGTTTTAATCACAGCACGAGACACAAACAAATAACGGTCAGCCCAAAACCTGAAAGTTTGACGTGTTCCCTTGAACGCTGAAGTTCTTCCAAACAGCCTAAACACTTTAGTTAGTTTACCTCCCAGTACAAGTCAGTCATGTAGAAGTCAATGGAAGGTATTTAAGTCATCTAGGCTCTACTTTTGCAGGTATGAACAGGTTTAACATTCCTATCACAAGTATTCTGAGCAGGGAAAATGCTAAAACACTTTTGAAAAAAACTAAGGCTTGATGCTTTTGCAAGTCCTGCTCCCATGTGCAAAGCTGGTGTTGCCCCCTTATAGAATGTCCAAGTTTAATCACAGATCTCTTGAACATCTCTGACAGCTATACCAGTACAGAAACTGCTTTAAAACAAAGAGGTTTATAAAATGTGGTTGCAGTATCATAAATCTTACTCTGTTACCACTTTCCTCACAACTATCACTATTTAAGATACTGCCTCTTCCTTGTCTACATTCTCAGAATGGCTGAATCATCAATCAAGATGATCTGGAGATTGTGTAGCTCAACCAAGGGCTCAAACTGGAGTCAACTATTTGAGGCTGCTAAAGGCTGAGTCCAGTTGGGTTTTGAGTACCTCTATGGATGGAGACTTCACAGTCACTCTGGGTAACCTGTGCTGGGGCTCGAGTAACCAAATAGTAAAAAAAGTTCTTATATTTCTGGGATTTCCTCTATTTCAACTTTTGAGTACCTCTATGGATGGAGACTTCACAGTCACTCTGGGTAACCTGTGCTGGGGCTCGAGTACCCAAATAGTAAAAAAAAGTTCTTATATTTAACTGGGATTTCCTGTATTTCAACTTGTGCCCACTGCCTACCACTGGGCACCACTGAGAAGAGTCTGGCTCTGGCTTCTTGACTCCACCCTGCCCCCCCAACCAACTCAGGTATTTATAAACACACGGGTGGCAAGACCCCCTTGAACCTTCTCCAAGTGGAGCAGTCCCAGCTTTTCCAGTTTTTCTGAATATGACAAAGGCTCCAGCTAACACCATTGCCCTTTACTGAACTCACTACAGCATGTTCACATCTCCCTTGTATTGGGAGGGCCCAGAACCAGACAGTACTCCTCCACGTGTCCCCACCAGTGCTGAATAGAGAGGGAGGACCACCTCCCTCTACCTGCTGGCAACACTCCACTTAATGCAGCCCAAGAAGCTGTGGGCACCACAGTCCTGTGGTCTGTCAAGCACTGCTTCCTTCCAGCTTTGCTTTGGCCTACAAGGTTGCTGAGGGTGCACTGTCCAATCATCCAGCTCATTAGTGAAGATACCAGTGTTTGGCTCCAGTATTGTCCCCTAGAAGCCAACCATGGTGACCAACATCCAGCTGGACTTTGTGCTACTGATGATAACACTTTGAGCCCAGTTCTGCCAGTTAAATCCATCTCACTGTGCACTTATCTACCCCACACACCATCCGTTTGTCTATGAGGCTATTATGGGAGGCAGTGATAAAAGCCTTGCTCAAGTTGAAATAAAGAACATCCCCTGCTCCAGTCATCTCACTGCAGAAGGTTGCTATCCACTGCAAATCCATGATTACTCCAAATCACCTTGTCCTCCGTATGGTTAGATCCTGGAAACCATTTTATTGGCTTTATCACCTCTCAGGGGTGAAAATGAGGCTGCTTAGCCCATAGTTCCCCAAGCCTCCTCCTTGCTCTGAGAACACCACTGGCTTTGTCCCAGTATCTTAGCCAGTCACCACAACTTTTCAAAGATAACCAAGTGGCCTTGCAAAGACAGTGGCCAGCTCCCTCATCACTTCCAGGCACATCCCACCAGGTCCCTTTACAGACAGTCAAAATCAGTGAAAAAGGAGGATGCAAATACTCAGACCAAATCTTACCTGTGACATTAACTCTATCACCTGGCTGAACTTTGTCAACAAGGTCGTTGTGAGCAAAGAGTGCAACCGTATATGGGGTCTGTCCAGCTGGCATGTCTTCAGGAGACTCCTGCAGTTTGATCTACCAAAAAACACTATGTTTTAGTTTCAGAAAAGTTACCATTTCACAAAGCTGTTTGCCCCACTTTCACATTCCAAAACACTTCTCCCCTTCTCAAAGCATTCAGCCTCAGTATCCATACATTAACGCTATTGATGACATTAGGGGATGGGGGAGCAAAAGCTAGAAGCTGTTTCCTTCTGGGCCCCAGCTGAGCAGAACGTACCATCTGCTTGTCAGAGAACATGGATCTGTTGTGGATCAGAGCCATGCTGTGTGTGGTGTTGCAGTTCTTGCACACGGAGGGCTCAGCAATCCTCCCCCGGTCGATTTCCACTCTGGTGGTGAAGGCACAGACCTGGCATTTGAAGAATCCTTCCTGCATCTCAGGAATTAACTGGGAGCTCCTGATGACCATGCCACTGATGGTGATAAGCTGATCAATATCTACAAATACAGGCACTTGTGTCATGACTTCATGCTCTTAAAATTTACAATAACCTCCAAAATATCACTTTACATTAATTTTTAGGTGGGATGCAGGTGTTAGGTACTAGTATTTAGTCTAAGACAGAGCAAAAAGAATCATAAATGCATAGTACAAGTATTTATTGGTGTATTTATACAGAAAAAAAGGAGTTGTTTGCACTTGCAGATCTAAGAACATGAGTGGCTGATGCCAGGGAAGATTTTCTTTATGGATACATCATTCTGCATTTGGGTTCTAAAGCATTTGCTTCTGAAACTCATATAAACAGAAGACACTGGTCTTTCGGACCATAAGTACAGTCCCATAGAGACTTCACATAATTCTGTGTCAACATTCAGTAAGCTTATATAAAACCTTAACATTCTTTTCTAATGTGTTAATCAAGTTTACCTTCAGGGTGTTTAGACTCCTCATATTTTATTTATTGGTGTATTTATACAGAAAAAAAGGAGTTGTTTGCACTTGCAGATCTAAGAACATGAGTGGCTGATGCCAGGGAAGATTTTCTTTATGGATACATCATTCTGCATTTGGGTTCTAAAGCATTTGCTTCTGAAACTCATATAAACAGAAGACACTGGTCTTTCGGACCATAAGTACAGTCCCATAGAGACTTCACATAATTCTGTGTCAACATTCAGTAAGTTTATATAAAACCTTAACATTCTTTTCTAATGTGTTAATCAAGTTTACCTTCAGGGTTTAGACTCCTCATATTTCTAGTCTTCAGTGCATTATATGGCCTTACTTGAATTTGATGTTCTAATATTGAGTCAGGGTAACGATCAAAAAAGATCTCATTGGCAGCCATGTCAAACGTTGGGATAACTTCCTGTGTCAAATTGTTAGAAATGGTTAAGCTTACCAAGTTAAAAATCAATTAAAAAAATCATAGAATGAAGTATTTTTGCAGAAAGCATTTTATGTGGTTCTGATCAGCCAGGAATAACTGAATTCCATTTTCCTACATAACTGAAAATTTGCTGTTCAGATGATAAATATTTGGGTATTGCAAAGGGAAAAAACAAAACAAAACAAAACCCCACAAGGCTCTGGACATTGCACTTTGCCAACTAATTTTGCATGCACAAGGTAACAATGGTAATATCTATGATCAACTACTGTGAAACAAGACATTTTATATTATGTAAAACAAAGAAGCCACAGAGATTACTCTGAACATACAAAGTACATGTTGCATTTAAACACATTAAAACATGCAAGGGCCACTTGAAAGCCCAAAAAGAAGTGCCTACTTCACCTGAGGGTAGCAGATCAGCTGCCTGTAAAGATTTTCATCAAATGATCTCAGATGGTCACAATTCACATTCAGGAATGGTTCCCCAACCATATTAATCTGTAAGGTGTTTGAAAAGAAATCTTTAGGTCAAGGGCACGCAGAACTGAAAAAGCAAAGTTATTGTGCTGTGTAACAAGTACCTCTTCAAGTCGCTGCATATAGCGTGGCTCATTAAGGTCCAAGCCCATGTCTTCATCCTCCTTAGCTAGTGGATCAATGAAGCACTGAAGAAATTTCTGAACATCAGAGGTACCAGCGAGGCAGAAGAGAAAGATGAGCAGAGTTTAACAGTGCAAACACCACCTATTTCTTATCAGATTTAAGTAATAGTTGCTTAAATCAAACCATTTTTTCCATTTAAAAAAGGTAAAAAGTTGTTAAGTTAACCTACCTGGAACTTTTCTTTGCACGAGGCTACGTTAACATCTGTCCCCCAAATAACAAGCTTTTGTCCCAAAGACTGCTCGGTCGCTACATCCTCAGTTGGCTGCATGGAAACAAATTAAGCATACACAAATATGCTTGTCTGTTTAAAAATGAGCTGTCAGATCCAAGATCTGAGACATCTACTTACCCCATCTGACTGTAAATCAACCTGTCTGGCTTTACGGGCAGAGCCGAGATCTGGCCTCTGCCTAACTGGAGTTCCTCGTACCCCACTCCGAGGAGTACCCTCCACCCTGGAGCTGGGTGTGCCATAAGTCAGAGGTGAACTGATGTCAAAGTCAAGAGGAATAGCTACAGGGAAAAAAAGTTTCATTATGATTATCAACAGCAGAGTAAAATTTGGCCCCTGAGTTTGTCTCATCATTTTTTTAAACTCTACTAGTTATAAAATAAGTGTTTTGTTGTGAACAGAAACAATAAAGATGTTGCAAGCCTACCCAGAACTTTTCCTTCTATTAACATCTGGAAGATCCCAAGTTCTAATAAAGTTTTGCTAGAAAACTTTAAAGCAGCACTGCATTTTAAACTACACTGGTGCCCAAGCATAAGAAGTCAAAACAGAGAATGCTAGATTGAACTAATTTTTCAGTATTTTGGGGGCTGTAAAAGAAGTGACATGACAATTATCAGCTCCAGCAAGTAAAGCAAATCCTATTTATAAATGGAAGAAAGGCTTTTTATAGCAATTAATTTTATTCTTTCTGCGTTAATGACTTTCCTGATTTTATTCTTTCTATAAGTATATAAAAGAACAAGGTATAATCTCATAGATAAGATTATAAGGTATAACCCTCCCAGGATAATCTGAAGCTTAAGCAGGACCCCTGCACCCCCGTTCTGTTCGCTAGGCTAAACTCTAATGAGAAACTCGAGGCAAAACCCCTTTTTTTTCCCGGGAGTTTTCCAGCCGGATCCTTTCTCCAACTACACAGGGGTGCGGGCA